CACAAGTGATAAAACTCCCCAATTTCAGCTAAGCATATGTCTGCCCAGAATAAGTGACATGGTAGAGGTGACATGCTGCAGCTCCCAGGGCCTCTTCCCATTGACTGCTCTCCATCCTAACATCCAAATCTGCATGTGACGGCTGGAGGCTAACCCTTGTGGACCACGAAGGCCACCATACCCAGAATGATGGCTGGAAGCAAGCCTGGGTCCCTGCTGCTGCACAGTGATGGACGGTCTTCCCCTGGGCCTTGACCGTACATAGGGCACCAGGTACTCAAGAGAGACTGGGACTCCAGGCCACAAATCTTACCTGTCTCCCTGATGCTCAAGTGGACAAGGTCTGCCACAGTGGCCGCTCCACATGGACACTAGGGCACACCAGAGTGTGGACCCTGGTCTGCATGCTCTGCCTTAGGGCACAGGTAGGGGTCACCTACCTCCCCTAATCAGCATGAAGCCACACAGCTCTGTCATGGCCTCCCCAGCTCCATCTACCCTGCGGCCTGGGTTCTCTGAAAACAGGGAAAGTGCCTCAGCCCCAAGGGTGCTGTCAGCTCAGAAAGGCTCACCAAGCTCCTCCTCCCAACACAAAGGCAGTGTCACTTGGATTGCTATAATTACTGGGAACTTCGAGGGTAATTATGTCCATTTAAAGTATGCCTAAAAGGGCCGCATGCCTCCAGAAATAGAAGAGAGTGGGGTGCAGGAGCATCTAGCATGTGCCTCTGAGGTGGCTCTGCATCTGCAGAAAGGGTAAGAGGGGGTCCAGTGGAGACCCAGCCAGCCGTGCTGCCAGGCAAACAGCCCCCTCGTGGGCAGGAAAAGTTCCAGGGAGTCCCAGCCTCTGGAAGAATACAAGCTAGGCTTGGTGAGCACAGTAAGGAAAATCCTGGTGCAGTCTTTATAGGCCCCCAACAAGTCCTTTTGGTCTAGGGCCAGGCTGCTTCAGGGTTCAGTCAACAAGCCCTTTCAGGCCCTGAAGAGAATGGGCCATCAAGCCTCTCCAGGATGGCACACTCTGCTCCCCCAGCAGGCAGCTCCTGAGACCAAGGGCTCATAAAACAGCCCTGCCTGATGCTGTCCCCCCACAGGCCTGCCAACCAGCCCCTTGAGCCTGTGGCTGGGTGTGGGCCACTGCCAAAGACCTAGGACCCAGGGACCAGTCACCCCTTGACAGGATATAGATGACGACCACTAGAAGCTGTCTCCGGTCACACCTGCACTTGTCTAAGGCCTCATCCCCACTGGCCAGTGCCAGTGCCTGCAACACCACCCACAAATGTTGTCCCTTGCTGTACCCTCCTGCCAGATGGCCCCAGCCTCACACAGGAAGCCCGAGACCACCTCTCCCAGCTGCACTCATCACACTGCCACATCCTCAGTCTACACCACCCACGGCCCAGCTCTAATGGCACCCAAGGAGGAAGCTCCCCAGAGAGAACAGAGCCTACCTGAGGTAGGCCCTAAGTCTCACCCCCTGGAGAGACTCCCAGGCCAGGGCCTACATCTCTATCTTTGAGCCCACAAAAACAAGAACCCAAAAAAGATTGATATAAAAGCTGGGGATTTAGCTTAGTGGTGCCACCACCTGCCTTGCAAGCAAAAGGTCCTAATTTCGATCCCCAGTACCAAAAAAAACAAGAACCCGTGGCCAGAGAGTGAGCTTGGGGGTAGTGGCGGGTGGGGGGGGGTTGAGGAAGGCACAAGCCTGATCCTCAGGGCCAGCCTGAGAGGGAGGCTCGGCTCACATGAGCTGTGCACTGGCTCACAGAGAGGTGCAGGCGGGCAATGCGAGCACCACCCTTCCATCTCAGCCAAGGAATCGAGTGAGGGAGCAAAAGCAGAGGGACTGAAGGAAAAGCTAGTGTTAAAAAAAGAGAAATCTCACCCTTGAAAGGAACCCTAAGAGATCAAGGGACAGATGGCCATTCTGTGGGACCTGCTGGGCAGGGGCCCTGGGCCCCAAAGCTTTGTATGCCAGCCTTCCCACAGGGCTGGGGAAGGCCCAGGGAGAACCCTCTCAGCCTGAGGGAGGTGGGGTCACCCCATTTCAACAGTCACAGGGGCCTCGGTGGTTCCCCTGCTAACTGCATCCTGGAGCTGACCTCCCTCTCGGGCTCCTCCACATCCTTGTGGGACCTGCTCTGAGCAACCCAGGCTCCACCCTGCAGCAGTGGGAGCAGTCGGTCTAACACCCAACCGGCCTGGGACTCTCCCTATCCTCAGGCTCAAAATCCCAATGTGACTCCTCCCTGGACCCGGGACAGGCCAAATTCCAGAGCCAGGCAAGCAGGTGCACATGCGTGCGTGGATAAAGTCCTGACAGCCAACCTCCTACCTGCCACTCCCTTGCTCTTTCCTGTGCAGGCTGTACCTACTCTTGCTCCTCTACCACAATGCACACCTGCTCCCCAGACCCAGGCTCAACTTTGATCCCCAGAGTTCCGAGTTTTGGCTCCTGAGGATCTGACACAGGTTCTATAACCTAATCCAGATGCCTGGGCCCAGCCAGGTACCAGGAGCAGCACCAGCATAGCTGCTGTCCCCAGGTGACCCCTATGGGCCATGCAGCAGGCTGAGTCTCTACAGGTGTCATCCCAGTTATCCTCACATCTTCCAGAACACAAGCTGGGCCAGATCAAGTGATTTGTTCAAGACCACATGGCCAGCTGGGGCCCAGATTCAGACCCACCCTTAGTTTGTCTCCCTCCAGGAGCTCTGAAAAAGCCCCTAAGTGGCAGCTTCCCAATCCCCTGAACCATCACTTCTAATTCACTGTTCAAGGACATCCAATGTGGCTGTTGATCTGCCATCTTCCTCCACTAGCTAGGCCTTCTTACATGTCACGCTATTCTCCGGGAGCTTATAGTGTCCAACCAACAACATACCTTCTGGAAAGAAGTCGATTTCCTTCCCAGAACCAATCCTCACCTGAGATTCTGGACCCATCCAGGGAAGGAACACAGGACACTCTAGACCCAAGGAAGCAAGGCTGCTGGAATGCTGAGCAAGCCTGCCCACCTGTGGGTCCCAGGAGCTATCCTCATGTGCCACATCAGGCTGGCTGGTGTCAGACGCCCAGAGAATGAAGCCTCCAGACCCTTACAGGACAGCGAGGCCTAGCACCTAGCTCCTCCCTAGAATGCATTCTCTCCAGGCTTGGGGTTACTCCTGTGGCTGGGGCCTCAAGTGCTTGCCAGATCCAGCACCTCTGGTCATGGACATGAAAGCCAAGTCTGAGCCTGGCAGATGCTGGCCCATGCCATGTGATCTCAGCAAATCTGCTAGCCCTAAAGATCTCTGCTATGATTGGATAGAGTGTATGCCCACCTTCCAAAGATTCATGTGACTGGATGCTTGGTCGCCAGTGTGGCAGTATTGAGAGGCAGTGGAACTTTTAAAAGGTGGAGCCTAGTGGGAGGTCCTTACGTCACTGGGTTGTGAGGCCTACCCATTCTCTCTGCTCCTGGTTAAAGGTGTAATTATCTTTTTCCTCTGCACACTGCCACCATTGTCGAGGTAATGCAGGCAATGGATAGTTTTTGCTGGAGCCTATGCTGTAATGCTTAGAATTTCAGCCTCCACAGTTATAAGCTAAATAAACCTCTTTGCTTTATAAAGGTAGCCTCTCTCAGGTATTTGGGTATGGTAACAAAAGACCAAGTGATGTAATTGCATCTGTAAAATGGACAGGATCATCATACCCACTAAAGCAATGAAACAGAGAACCTAAGGAGAAGCCTTAGTCCTGTGGTGCAGACCTAATCAGTGGAGCTCTCCTTTCCCAAGATAGCCCCTTCTGCCCCAGTGAGCCAAACTGTGGGTACAGTCCCCAGGCTTGGACAAATCATTTTCCCTTAAAATGAAACAAGCTCTCAACAGGAAAACTGGGCTCAAACGAAGAGAGCTAGAATGTTACTGTTAGCATGACATCCCAAAGAGTCCCGCTCACATACACACACACTTTGAAAAGGCAGCCTGGACTTCTCTGGAGCTGCCCTGCTCTCCAGTGGGGCACGGTGGGAAGAGAAGTCTGGAGATCAGAGCCTGCAGCTGGTATAGGCCCCACAGCTACAAGGGAGGCTCCTACCACAAGACTATTGTACCCCACAAGAACGGAGCATACCCCACAAGGCCCAGCAGCCACATTTCCTATGTCCATGGGTGCCGTGGCTTGTATCTAGTGTCCTCCCAAAGCTTCACGCATTCATAGGTTTTGGGGAGGTGGCTGGATGAGGGCTGTGGGATGTTGGATCTAGGGTGTGTGTTGCTGGGGTTAAGGATGTACAATCCTTCCACTGATAATTGGAAGTAGCAGTTCTCAGTGCACCTGAATGGATTTATTGAAGAGAGAAGTCCACCCTCAGTATGGACAGCACCACTCAAATGGTTTATAGCTTGTCTGGGATAAAAGGGCAAGTCAGGCTTGCTTCTGCTGCTGTCTCCTGCCTGCCCTGCCATGAACTGTTTCTCCTATGTGATGTCCCTCTGCTATGCACCCTGCATTGGAGCTAGCTATGAACTGAAACCTCTACCAACTGTGAGCTGAGATAAACTTTTCTTCCTTTAACTTGTGGGTATTGGATATTTTCACCTAGCAATGAGGAAGTAACCAAGACAATGGGTTTGGCACAATGGCTCTAATTTCTGTTTGTCTCCTTTGCCTGATCACATAAGTCTGCTTGTCCACCTGCTGCTACCCAGCTATTCCCTATACTCCCTCTCCCTGTTTGTTATCAGGACACTGCATTACCACCCCAGGGGTTCAGCTAAACCAAATCCTCCCATGGTCAGACCCACTCCCAAAGCCCTAAGGCTTTCATTTCCTACCTCTGTGGTCACAGAGAACAGCAGGATCACACCACCTGACAAAATCCCAGCAGCTCCTGTGCCAAGCGCTTACACAGACAAGTCCTCGTGCCCCGCCGCATGCCATGACCTCCCAGGATGGCAGGGGTGGGATGCTTCCCACAGATGCTGAACACGCATGCTCATACCTTTCATGTAGGCCTCAATCTTCCGGATGAGCTCATAGGACTTGGAGCGGTCCAGCAGTGTCCTGATGGCAGGGAGAGGGTCCAGGACGATGGTCTCTGGATGCGCATCGATGTACTCCTGAAAGAAAAGCACACCCCTGGTTAGAGAGGGGTCAGAGGCGGGGGCTGACACAAGGGAGATGCAAGATTCTATCCCTTGAGCCCTCCGTGCATCATCCAATCCCTGGCTTGTCCTTCCCCTGTCACATGACTCTGGTTAGATCAATCAGTGCATCCCCAGGCTCCTGGCTTAGGAGAGGAAATGTGACCGAGTCCATCCAAACAGAACCAAGCTCAGGTGTCCTATGAGAAATGCTGAGAGAAGAAAGCTCTTGGCCTCATGGAAGAAGCATGGAGATTGGCCAGCTGTAACCAGTCCTCATAGGAACTCAAGGGAAGGCTTAACTGAAGCCCGAGCTTAGAAAATAGAGCCAAGAATAGAACAATGACCAGGTTCTGGTCAGGTTGCTAGTGCCCTGGATACAGCCTCACCTGAAACCAAATCTGCTCCACATACTGATTACACTCTGTGAGTGCAACAGCCCAGCACCCTCTGCTGATAAGGATTCTAAGGCAGGGCCAGGGGGAGAATGGAAGGATGGTAGGATTGTGAGAAACTCTATGGGGAGGTGTGATGGAGAAAAAGGAATCAACACCAAGGGACTTCCCCCTTCAATATCTACCAGCCTCACAGTAGGTACGATGGAAATGCAAGAGAAACTGACAAAAAAAAAATCAGTCTTTAAAGGATTTACCATCTCCTTGGAAGTAATGACTTCCATGCGGGGGGGAGGGGGACACACATGCCACTATACATAAAATAATTCAATAAAAAACAGGGCTAAGTTTCCAGGGAAGCAATATAGGCTGAGAAAAAAAGCACTGGAAATCTTGTCCCCTCCACTCAGTGACTTCAGGAGCCTGAGCCACCTCGGTGGGCCAGAGCAAACAGGCAGACACAGTAACATACTGTCCCTAAGACAAGGTCTTAGGAAAGAGTCTGGGCTATTAGCCTTGGTGGCCCCTAAACATATGTGCAAAGCACAACCTTCTGATACTTGTGAGCATGGCCTTTCTTGGAAAGAGGGTCTCTGACGTAGTTGTTGAGGTTCTTTCTGTCAGCCATGAGGTTATAGCAGACATGGGTAGATCCTTACTCACTGACTCGTCTCCTCAGAAGATGGGAGAAAGGGAGAGCCCTGGGGTACTGTGTCTCTACTCTAAGCAGTGCCAAAGACAGACCACAGCCACAGGAACTGGGAGAGTGGCACAGAACAGGTTCTCCTCAGAGCCTCCAGCCCAACTGACATCTTGGTTTTGGACTCCCAGCCTCCAGAACCACACAAAAATACATACGTCTCTGTTACTATAAGGCACCCAAGGGCAGTGGCTGGTTACAGCAGTCCTAGGGAACACACCAGCTTGCTCCATCCCCTGCCACCCTCTACCCGCTGCTCCTCTTCCCCCAAACTGCCCTCCCTTCCACCTGGCCCACACACCCGTCTGTGAGGTCATCAGAGGCCAGGAGAAAAAGCACTCACGATACTTCTTTTCTAGTGAACTTTATCAACAAAAAGAGAGATTTATTTGCAATTTTTTTCAGAGAACTTATTTTGACCCTAGTCATCATTTTAGGAGCACTTAGTGAGTGCCAGAGAGTCATACCCATTTCTTGCCCGGAATCTGTCTCACTTGTATTCCACACCAAAGCATCTACTTAGGGGGCTCCTTTGTCTTCTCTGGGTGTTCAGAAACTTCCCCTACCCCTAAGTGGTGCCAGTGTACATCTGGGGAAGCCTAGCACTGTCCCCACTCTGATGACTTCCTTGGGACTCGCCTGCTGCCCTCCTTCACCAAAGCAGCAGTATCAGAGATGCTCATTGTGCTAGGACAGTCTTTCTCCCCCAGCAGCTGAGCCTCTTAAAACACGGGCACGCACCTTCCTCCCCTCCAAAGAAAGCCTCCACCCCAGGCCAGAGAGGTGCATTTCCAGCTGCAGAGGAACACAGAGCTGATGTTGCTTCCCCGGTATGCATGAGGGCAGTGACCTTTAAAGACAGAACCCGGAATCAAGACACAAATTTAAGCCAAACTCAGGAGCAAAAGAAGCCACATGAAACCAAAGGAGACAATACCTGACAGGCAGAGCCAACAAGCTTTGCAAGGATGAAAGCCTGGCACTAACAGAAGAATCCTCCTAAACAGATCTCCCTTGGGAGCGAAGGGAGCAGGAAGAGTTTTTCCATTCTCCTTGCTATCTACAAGTGGATTTTCTCCCCGGGCTTTTCAACTTATCTATTGTATTGAAGGCCTCATGCATTTTTCACGAGTCTCTTAGAATTACCAAACAAATTATTGGAAGAAAGGCCCAAACTGTCTCCATGGCAAATGGTAAACACATGTTCCCTAGAGGGCCTGCCCAGGAATCCCCAGAGAGGGCTCTTGGAAATTCACAGGGGAGCCTGGCTTCCTGCAGGAATACACAGCCCTGGGCCAGGATGAGTGGTGAAGGGAACAAAGGGGCAGAGACCAGCCAGCTGCCCAACAACCATAAGCTCCCCCAGGAATGGAATGAAGCTGGCACGGGCGCCTGGGCCTCTGTGGCATTGCAGTCAAGGTGTTCCTGAGCCCAATGGGAGAACCAAGAGGAATATGAGAGGTGCTGTATCTTTCGCGGTCCTTCCAGGCAGGAAGCGAGACACAAAGATTTGTTCTCATCAAACAGAGAATGCCATCAGAAGCCCCAGGTTCAAACCCTCCCATATCCCCCTGGTCAGGAAAAGCCACTGGAGTAAAGTCTCTGAGATTCTGAGTACATTAACATACGTCCTAATAAGGCTACCACAGGGGCTGCTCTGGGCATCAAGCAGACCAGGGATATGAAAGCGCTCTGTAGAAACAAAAGAGAATTCCTGTTATTCTGGAACTCTTAAAGCCCAATCTGGCAGAGTCTCTGGGCTCACCCTGCAGACAGGGAATGCCAGTCCTGCACTTGGTACAGGGAGGTAACACAGTTCCCCAGGCAGCACCACTCTGGGGACGGCTCAGGCCCTGGCAGAGAAGGCCAGGACAAGAAATAGTTCCATCCACTGTCCCAGGAGGCAGCAGAGGACTCGCCTGTGGTACTCACCTTCCAGATTCTCACAACTACAGGCTTGAGCTAAGGCCCCCCAAAACAGCAGGCCCTTTCTAGAAAGTGGTGATTTAATTTTTTAGAGCTGCATATGCATGCAAATAGTTTACAGATTATTATGTCTGGGGTTTGCTTCAAAATAAGGTGCCAGGCATGAGAAGAAGCAGGTCCATGCAAGGGGAACACAGGGTGGGTAGGAGTGGGTGGCGGCTGGAACTCTCCTTAGGTCCTTCCACACTCTGTGCAACACAAAGTCTGCAAAAAATAAGGAAGAGGTGATGAGCTCTTCCTCTTCCTCTCCACTCCCCAAGTTGGGACACAAGTAGATTAAAAACACCAACATCATCATTCTAAAAGGAATAGGAAGTGCCTATCCACATGAGAAACATGGTGAGAGAGTAATTATGGGAAAGATAATATTAAACGTAATTATCAGTAATAATAAAACCTGCTGCCACTTACTGAAGACTTGTTCTATGCGTGCTGTTGGATAAAATGGTTTTCAGGCACTATTTCTTTTAACAGAAAAAAGTCCTGTGAGGTAAGAGATAAAATTATAAAACTCTCAGAATAAAACAATAACAAAAATCTTTGCAACCTTAAATAATAGTTTCTGACCTATGATATTACAAGCACAAACAGAAGAGCAGGAACAATGGACAACTGGGTATTCTCAGAGTAGAAAATTCTGTGAGTTGAAGACCTGATCTCCCCATGCAAAAGCTTGTGCATGGCTTCCTGGGTAGAGGTGCCCAGGCACTGCCCACCACTGGAGCCTGGAGGGCATAACCAGAAGCCCCACAGGTCTTGAACCACTTCCACTCACGTGTGGTCCCCCAGGATCACTGTGAGAACAGCAGGGTTTCTCCACATTTTTCTTAGGACCCTGAGAGGTTCTGGTCAGACAGGTCCCTGGCTGCAGCCTGTTCCATCCAAACAGCTTGCTCCTTTTCACAGTGGCGAGCTCCACCATCCTCTCATAATTGCGGCCAAGAGCCTGCCACAAGGCTGTGTGAGCCTCAGGCCCAGCATGCCCGTGTGATCTGTATAGCGGCACTGGGAAGCTCTGGCTCTATAGGCAGCTTGGGAAGTCACTGGGGTGGGGGTAGGGGCAGGTGGTGCCCACTTCCATTCTCTGCAAGTGAAGAATGCCATGAGGTGCTTACAAGCAAAGGACCTGGAGGCTACCATGCCAGGGGCAAAATCCCACTTCCCTTGTTCCTGATTTCTGGGCCTTCCTGAGCATGGATGCATCTTGATGCCAACACGTAAGTAAGAAGCCCTGCTGCAGAAGCTGTGCACAAAGGACCACAAAGTGGCCCCTGGACACTGAGGGCTCCAGTAAGAACTTGAAAGCCTCTGTCCAGCAACTGCAACAAACTGAGGGAAGCAGATCTTTCCCCAGTGAAACCTCAGATAGGATGCAACTGACCAGCACCTGTCATTGCAGCCCAGTGTGATCCTGAAGCAGGAACCCTGCTGACCTATGACAGGGTGTCTGACCTACAGAGGCTGTGAGAAGGTAACTGTGTGGCATTTTAAGCTGCCATGTTGGAAATAACTTGTTATACAGCACAGGAAACCAACACAGATCTTGGCTGCCATCTTGGTGTGAGGCCACCTGAAGGCAGGAGACAGCAATACTGACAGGTGTTGAGGTGCTGCTGAGTCCTGACAGGAAGAAAAAGGAAGAACACAAAAGAGTGGAGAGCAACAGGAAGCATGAGTGGCTCTGGAGGGTGGCTCCCTTCTGTGGATCTGCATGGTGCTAGGTACAGAGTAGATCCGGCAGACATAATCCATCCAGCTGCTGACTTATGGGTACGCATACTTTTCTACATGCATATTATACTTCAGTCGTAAAGCAAATGAATGGTGATGGCCAGAACAGTAGGCCTGATGCTAGGCCTGCTCTGCAGCATGGCCTGCCTCAAACTTGCCATTAG